TGAACCAAAGGGCTCCTGGGGCCGAAGCTAGCCGAAGGATCGGCCAAAGCTACTGCTAGATCCTTCGGCTGCTTCTTGAATAGACCCCTTAGTGATTGCCAGGGCTGTAGTCAGTCTGGCTGGATTATGGCGGTAATTATCTGGTTAATTCCAGGTGTCTGGCATTGTCTGTTCCCCCCTGGGCACAGTGTGAGACACTGTAGTATATGCACAGTACAGCAGCCAATCACTGGGTTTCTCACAACCAGTGGTGCATGCTGGGATAGGGTTCATATACTGGAGGGATTGGCCATGTGCTCAGACTAGCCGGGACCAGCCATGGATTAGGGCTGGGTGTTGTTCACCCTGCCCACCAGTCTAGGCCTGAGGCCTGGGGGTGGGCATAGGCTGATGGGAGGGAAAGGTTTCCCTGGGGCCTCCAACATGGAGGAGGCATATGTTACTGTCAGAGGAAGAGACCCAGGACCGAGGATGGCTCTTGAAGTTTCCTGGAACCTAAGGACTTCAGGAGTATGGCTGGTGTCTCTCCTCTTCAGGATCTGTATTCATCCCTGCTCATCTGCTACTTCATTTGCTATCTGCTGTCTCCCAAGTGGATCTACACTGGGATGTTAACCAGGTCTGGTGAGTCTGGAGTCTATGTCTGTTGTACCCTGGAAGCTTAGAATCCATATAACCTCTCTCCCCAGTATGAAGATGTTCAATAAAAGTTATTCAGTATTATACTACTGGAGTGGACATCAGCTATTGTGGGCACTAGAAGAAAGGCGGTTAATGCTAATGGATGGGCAGTTAGAGATCATTCCCTAGACAGACTAGAGATGAACCCGGCGTTCTGCGGCTCCTATGGGGGTAGCGCTACACAGACATCAACTGATGTTGATACAGTATCAGCATTTATGACTTTCAGCACCAGGCCCTATTAAGGGTAAAGCTGGCATGTGATCAGAACATATGGCCTTCTATGGCTAACCTCATTCTGAATAGTTAAAGTAGAACCAAAGCTGAAACCTTTTTGTTTAGTTTTGGATCGAGGAAGGGAGTGTTGGCGATGAAATCTGTAACCGGCAATAGGTCTCACATTTTACAAAGTGGGACAGAAGTGAGCTGTCCCAGGGCAGATCGGTTCTCCTGCACATACCATCTCTGATGCCGATCTGCACTGGAAGAGCTCACAAAGCGTTGTAATGCTTGACCTAATGGGTGGTCACACATTCCACCGCCGGAAAACTGGGCGGGATTACGTTAAAATGTGTGACCACCTGACGGGTCACACATTCTAACGTAATAACAAATGTTGGTAGAACACTGGACTGTCCAGGTGAATCCCGGATGGGTGGCAACCATGGAGACTTTGCATACCTCTGCGGCAAAAAATCCCCCGCCCGCAATTTTTTTATTGTCAGGAGACAGCGCCACCTGGCGTCCGCCGTCCTCCGCCCGCCGTCTGCCGCAAGAAATGGAGGTATGCAGCATTGTAATGTTTGAATCATGTGCCCGGGCGAGAGGTGGCCACAGACCCGGGCACATGATTCCAAACCCGAGTTGTCAGGGTGAAATCCGTACGGGTGGCAACCCTAGTTATAACTCTAGTCGGCTTTTGTTTCTTTTGCCATCAGTCTCCCGTTGGGGAGACTTCCCTACACATCCTGTCTGATAATCCCTACAATGAGGCAGCCTGAGGCTGTTGCCTCAGACAGCATCTTATGGGAAGGGGGGGTGACAGGCAGTCTCTGGCCCCCATTTTGGCCAGAGCGCCCCAGGCTGCTAAGAACCAGGCAGGGGGAGATGTGTAAGGGCCACACACATCTCCCCACCCAGCTTTTAGCAACCTGGGATTCTCTTGCTTGTGTCCCACCAAGCTCCTGGCAACTAGTGATGTCACTAGTTGACCTTGCTAAGCCAGAAGCTTAGCAAGGTCGTCCCCCCCACCTGCTCCTCAGGTGGTAAGAGAGCTAGGGACGCCCTTGCCAATTGCCACAACAGGAAGTAAGAGAAAATCCACCCAAAGTGATGGAAATGCCTGGGAGTCAGCAGAAGCACCAGAACCAGTATCTATCCAAAACTAGATGAAAAGTTTTGGCTTCAGTCACATTTTGCAGCCCCACCACACAACAGGAATGGAAGAACCACAAGGCAATGCTGATTACTTTGCTATATTTGTTTTTTAACTGTTTGACTAGAGTTGACATAAAGGACAGTTTTGTACTGATGCAGAAGGTAGAGAAGCTTCTTTTAGAGAGATATATGATTGCACCCTCCTTACCATACAAGAGAAGAATGTTCCTGCTACAGTGTGCCATTATTGTTTAGAGAGCTCATAAAGTTTCCCTTTGTGATCCTAGCCCGAGGCCTCCAGAAATGCATACACTAAGAGCACGTACTTTGTCTTGTGTCTGGCTTAAGGTCACATTATACTGCTACGGATGGGACAGCAAGGAAAGTTTAGGTCGCATTCGAAATGTAGCCATTCGCAGAATATTATTTGCAGGAAAACACCGGTAGGCCACAATCCGGAGGATTGTTTGAACAGCCTATTTCCAATCTTGAAAGGTGAACATAACTGGGGAATGTAGCAATAAAATAAAGAAATTAGATTTTTAGCACACATCTATATGATGCTTCTTAGAAAATACTCATTATCTGAGATCTGCGGGAAGTATAGAAACTGGCATAAAACATATACTGTACAAGCTGTTGTGGGATCAAATAAATAATAGGATGGACCGCTACTATATATTATCTAAGTATTGGTTTATAACCTGTGCTTATTCTAAACAAACATTTAAAATGTCTGTAAAAATTGTACTGTTCCGTACCCCACTTAGAGCTAAAAGACATCTCCCAAGGATGTAATTTAACCCCAGTTTTCTCTTTGAGGGTTAGATCACACCATAAGCAGTGCGTTCTGAAACAAAGTCTGTGAATCGGGAAGTGCTAAGAGCTGATCACTTCCAGGTTCACCCTTTACAAAAGGTGAACATTCCTCTACCTACTTGCCATCCTGATGTGTCTTTTTTTTTTTTTTTACCCCAGCAAAAGCTGTTGGGCCTGGGGACCAACGAAGGGGATTGCCCGGGAGGGGGGAGAGAACTATAGAAATCACCATAGAGGTGATCAGGAATAGTAGTTTGTGGCAGTAACGGGGTTAAAAGATTGGTATTTTTTTTCATGTCGCCCTTAAAGTCTCATTAAAAGGACCCTCTGTCTGATGTATTTCTTTTGTTTAATGCTTCCCATGGCAGTGCCCAGATCCCTGATCCAAAATGCCTATTAGCCTTCATAGACTTCAATGAGGTTTGCAGCTAAAATGCTGTTGCAGATTTAAAACAGAATTCGACAAACCCCCCAAATTTAAACCCTGTCAGAGTCACTCATTTCTTGTGCCCACACACACGCACACAATCTTGCCCTCTTCACAATGAGAAAGGGAAAGCCAAGCCCCATCACACACAGATTAGGAGATTTCTGCATATGATCATCCTAAATCCTTCTTTAGAAAAACTTCCCTCCGCTGTCACCCCGTCACATATTATTGATGCGCAATCAGGACATTTATATATCTAGCTACTCTTACTTTTATAACAAACAAATGAAAATGTATATACTTGCAAATTCTTTTTGCTATATTGTTACATTTTTAATTCTTTCATTTTCTACTATTTACGGGGTTTTTTTCTACTACTTTAAAATGGACAAAATAATTCACTTATTTAGGCTGCAATACATAAACAAAAAAAAAAAAAGAGAAAATCCCTGGCTCACAAGAAAATTCTGAGTACTTTCTGTAGCCAAGCTGAGGTTAATACAGAAAACTCTGTTATCCGGTATCAACTAACCAGAACTCTCATCTAACCAGAAAAAAAAAACCCCTGTGTACTCACTGTTTTCTGATCTGCGGCATGTATTATCCTGGAAATGATTGTGTGTCTATTTGTCTTAATTTGCTTTTGATTACTGCATTTCAATATTAATATGAAGTCAATACAGAGTATATGTCATGAAATGGTATAGTATGGGGGTATGGCATTATTTTAATAGTAACTCTCAAGCAACCAGAAACTACATTTATCCGGAATCTACCAATCCCCGTGGATGCCGGATAACGGGCAGTTTATTGTATTTCACTTTGAATGTATTTAGAAATAACACAACAGTGTTTTAAAATCAACAAAATTTCAAAAGGTAGCTCAAAGAAATGATTTGAAATGTCCAAAATAAAATCTATCTAAAAAAATCTATCCTATCTATCTACCCATCCATCCATCCATCTATCTATCTATCTATCTATCTATCTATCTATCTATCTATCTATCTATCTATCTACACATCCATCCATCCATCTATCCATCCATCCATCTATCCATCCATCCATCCATCCATCCATCCATCCATCCATCTATCTATCTATCTATCTATCTATCTATCTATCTATCTATCTATCCATCCATCCATCCATCCATCCATCCATCTATGATCTTTCTCTCTTTTTTCACTGCATCATTTGAGATAGATAGATAGATAGATAGATAGATAGATAGATAGATAGATAGATAGATAGATAGATAGATAGATAGATAGATGTAATAATTGCCTAAAACTAGTAACAATAGCTATAGCCACAAGCTATTAGTATTTAAACTTAACATAACTACAAAAAGTAATAACATACATTCAATACAGAGATAGAGAGTGATTGAGACAGAGATAGAGAATGATTGAGACAGAGATAGAGAATGATTGAGACAGAGATAGAGAGTGATTGAGACAGAGATAGAGAGTGATTGAGACAGAGATAGAGAGTGATTGAGACAGAGATAGAGAGTGATTGAGACAGAGATAGTGAGAGAAAAATTGGGAAGCAGACAATTTAATATTTAGCTAAAAAAATACCACCTGTGGCTGTTTCCACAAAGCATTTTAGAAAAAAAGTTTATATTTAAACACAAAACACAAAAGTTAAAAAACATACAAATAATAAAAATAGTAAAATTTGTTACCTGTGGTTAGTCAGCGAGTACATTTTTGTGGCTTTGTCGCTCACCAGGCAGGCTTTCTCCAAACCTTTCATTATGATTGTGAAATCAGTGGGGTGAACCTCGGCACAGATAGTATTCAGGAGAAAAATGGCAAATTGACGAGATGCACCATGTTTGGAAAACGTGTTCCTAACTCTTACCCACTTCTTCTCAGACCGTACAGAGGAGTGTAAGGAAGATTCGTCCGTCAGACCTGCCTACTCTATACATTCTTCCCATACACAAGGAGCAGGTGTTTTCAGACTCCGTTCAGGACAAGAATGCTGGGATGTGAGGATCAGGCTCGGAGCCCAGGGAAGGAGCACAATTAGAACTGGCTTTGTTTGACCAGTGCAGTGGAGTATTAGGAGTTCGTCTGCCTCATCGCACTAAAAAAAAACAAAAAAACAGCCATGGAAAAATTTGCTTCATCTTGGGGAATTTTTTTTTAGCTAATGTGCAACATGACTTGAGATGTGACAAACTTTGGTTATAGTGACATTAAAGTAAAAAAAAAAATGTTCCCCTCCCCCCAATGTTAATGTCAGCACTTACCTTAAATGATGTTTCTTAATCCGATCTTCCTCTTCTTTCCTGTCCTTTTCAGCCTCCTCTCTATCTCTGCGGCGGGTCTCTGATCCAGCGCTGACTCCTCTGTCCTTGCTGGTACTTCCGATCCCACCGTGTCTGTGTGGGTGCACGCGTCCATAGACTTACCTTGCGTCTATCCTCGTCTCCCGGCCGAAAATCCGAACTGTGCATGCGCCCGCCCCAAGATGCTTTGCGGCTGCCCGAGCAGTTTCGGATTCTCGGAAGGGAGTGCCTCGGCAAAGACAGGGTAAGTTTAAACCGCTGTTGAAAGCGTTTTTTTAAAGACTTTTTGCATATATCTACTGATTGCTAGCAGTAGTTATATGCAAAAAAATGGAGGGTTTAGAAACCCTTTAAGGAGACTCTATCACTTTTTGTTTTTTTAGAGTAACTTGTCACAAGCTAAAGGCCCCTATTATTAAAGTAGTATTAAACCCTCAACTTTTTTCAGTAATTAATGCAGATCAGACAAAAATACATTGTCAGTCAGTCAGTATATTACAGTTGTCCAGAACTCTCTCAGCTGTGCTTCCCTAAACTTCCCATCCAGTACAAGATCACAAGGTAGAGCACATCTCCCGCAGCTGTCTATCTACTAGCTTGAAGAAGGGAGGAGGGAAGGGAGGTGAGCAGGAAGGAGGGAAGTGCATTGCCTTGCTATGTCTATGTGTTTGTGGAGACACACAGCTTACTAGCACACACAAGGGTGGCTCCATAGAAACCTTGCAATGGAAAGGAACCATCCTAAAACAAGACACTGAGGCCAGTGCTTAGGGGGCCAGATCAATTTGCTGTAAACTAAAACTTTTAGACATCAAGAAGCAGCATCCATTCTAAGTGACTGAGTTACTGAGCATTTGACGTAGCTTAAAAACCTTTTGTCTGAATTATTAGTAGTACAATGTAATAACAAATTAACTGTTTGAGCCCATTCACAACTAGTTATTGGTATTGTCAGGGTTTTTTTAAAAGCAGTTTTGAGCATTTTTGCAGGCATTCAGCTTCAGACATTTTTCTATTTGGCGCAATGGAAAGCAGTAGCATCTGTGACATTAGGTACAAACACCCAGAAAATGCTCTAAAAATGCTTAATAAACCGCTTGTGATGTACATTTTAAGGCGTTTCCAATAGACATGAAAGCTGGCCAAAAATTTGTTTCGTATTTTTTGTCCTTTCATTTTTCGGGATTTAGGCCTAAATGTCAATTTGTTTTCATATGAGGATTCAGACGAATCCATATTTAATTTTAAATTTTGGATGAGTTAAATAATAATTATGAGCGAACATTCCTTGTAGAAATAACCAGAGACAATATTGGTTGGTGTCTATTTCACTGGCAAAGCACCCTCCCCATGTTTAGGGCATGTGGCCTGGTATGGTGGCCTGCTCTGCCAGGTTGCTGCTCGGATCAAGGGTCTGGTAAGGGATTTTAGGGGGACCCATGCTTTTTTTTATTATTTTTTTTTATTTAAAGGTTTAGCAACACGAGTTCATTCTGTATGACATTTGGACAAAATTTGGCTGCAATCTGATTAGTTATTTCTTTCATTTGCAAATTCGGATCCATCCAATCACACTGAGTGGCCAGATTATTATGACCACCCCATCAGTACTTCGTTGGGCCACGAGATAACTCCACGAGATGACTTTGTTGGGCCGCCTCGTGACTCCACGAGATGTTGAAAGGTGATGCGAGGAATCTGACACTGCACTGTTGCCCTTCTGTTGTCTTGTACCAGTCTTGCCACTCTCCGTTCTGCCCTAACATTGACTAGTCGCTGACGGACACAATTTGCACGTTCAGACCCAGATTTTCGGCTGACAGTCCAGTCTTTAAACACTTTAACAACAGCAGCTCTTGAACATTTAACTAATTCTGCTGTTTTGCTGATACTCGCTCCATGGCTCTGAGCGCCAACAATCATCCCACGTTCAAAGGCTGTTAAATCGCGTTGTTTACCCATCTTCAGAAAAAAATCACTTCTACTGTCGTGGTAAACAACCTGCTTCCCTATTTATAATGGTCTGGCCCTCTAGCAACTTCAGCGCCAAATTATAGCTAATTATAGCTAATTTGCCTACAAACGTCAGGTGGTCATAATAATCTGGCCACTCAGTGTATGCCGATATTCATCTGAATTTCATCTGAACTTCAATTCGGTAAAAAACAAATCTTACATGTCTACTGGATATTTCTTTTATTAAAGGCGTACTTAGAAGCAATCTTGTGCTTCGCCCATGCAGGACAAAGCAATAGGTTTTCTTTGCAGACTGGTCCCTCAATAGTGTATTTCCACCTTTTCTTTGCTCCACGCTGCTTTGTTTAGCCATAATGAAATGATGGAAATACCCAGTACATCCAAATCTGCAGGAACATACCTCAACGTATGTGATACTACTGGTGCTCGGTGATTGGCTCAGTGCTGTCACATGGGTGCAGAGAGACAGCCAGTCTTGTGTAAGCTCCAACAGGAAATCTGACTGGAGCTTACACACAGCAGTTCCTTCTCATTTCTCACAGCTGAATGGAAAGGTGAAGGAGCAGGGCCATCGCTACCTTATATGAAGCCTTAGGCTGTAGAGTTGGAGGGGGAGTGGCAGTTGGACTTTGCTTTGGTGGGCTGGACTTTGGTGGGCGGCTCTGTTAGGTTGGGTTCACACCTAGGCGGATTGAATATGCACATTTTCCGCGCGTTTTTCCCCCGCGATTCCCGGTAAAAAAAACGCGCGAAAAACGCGCGTTTCCGAGGGATACTTGGCTGTATCCCAATGGAACCGCCCGACCAAAACGCCCCAAAGAAGTACATGTACTTATTTGGGCGTAGGGCGGTTTCCCGCACATTCGTATTCGCGGAAAACAGCCCAGATGGGAACCATGCACATTGAAAATAATGCCATTTCCCTGTTTGAGCGTTTTTCAGCGACTACGAAAGTGCGGAAAAACGCCTAGGTGGGAACCCAGCCTTAGAGCTCTGCTCTCAGTGGCTCTCTGTCCAATCCCATCCAGCTCTCCGACATCACTGGTTGCCAGGAGCTTGGCGGGATGTCAGCCAGAGGGTCCAGGTCAGCTCCCTGGTAACCGATGATAGTTACATAGTTAGTCAGGTTGAAAAAAGACACATGTACATCGAGCTCAACCTATATGATGTAATTGAGCGAGCGGGCGTGGGAAGTTATAATTCATTTGAATATGTACACTGCTTATCTGTCATTTGAATTTTCCAATATTGTTCATTTTTTTAGAGTGGTTTTAGCTATTCTGGTTGTTTGTTTTCCAGTCTTTGGGCTATTTAGAAAAATTATTTCTGACAGCCATTTATAACCTTTGCAATGAGATTTCTCTACTCAAGAAGTTGCTTGCCACAAGTTAACAAGTGCAGTGCCTTCCTGCTCTTGCAGTGCCATTTTATTGTGTGGATCCCAAAGTACATATGATCTTTGCAAACTCATTCTGAGCTGTTTAGAACTCTGAATGTTACCGTAAGACCATGCTTTAAATTCAGTTGTTTTCTGGGCTGTGGAACTTGAGGTCCCATGACACTGTATTTAGAAGTGCAGGGTGGGACCTGTAGCTTTTCAGCAACTAGATGGAAGTCTTATACATCGGTCTCTACTAGTACTCATAAGTTATGTTTACTGAACGTAATGTCCATATACTTGTGCCAAAATTGTACAACACGTTTCAGGTGCCGTTAGAACAATGTTTACAATGTTAGTACAAATAAGACACTCCATGTTCATGACTTTAGGCGAATTCAGTGTATCAGAGAGGGTATCACAGTCACTCTCCTAAAATCCAGCAGAAATTGAGTCGCCAGGCATGCTGTACACAGTGTACCCAACAATACAAAAGCTCCTTGTTTATAGCTGCAGATGTGTTGCGTAGATTGCCATATTATTAGAATGAGGGTGAGTGGGGATGAGGTGCTGGACAACAAACCTTTTCTAGTTGAATAGAAACAATATTTATGCCTGATGACTCCTGCAGCTCTTCACAAAATGGGGGGCCCTCCAGAGGGAGGGGATGTCCAAAATTAGAAATCCACGTGAATGAAGACTAAAAAAAGCCCCAAGTAATCATCTCAAGGGTAAAAAAAAACTTAATTGGCTTCACAAATGGCAAGAAGATATGAACGTCCAACACGTTTCGGGGGTCAGGAATCCCCCTTTTAGGACTTAAGCAATGAACAACACCAGGCAGAACCTCACCTTCCATTATGGAAGAAAAGGCTGTCAGCCTCCCCGCTGTGTAACCTGTCTTGGACGGAGCGCCACCTGTTAATGACATCATCCGGCTTGTCGGTGTCAGCCCAGGAAGAGACTCTGGGTTATTTTATGAATAGGTGAATGTATTGACCTGTATTGAATGTATTGAAAGTTCATGCAAGTAAAAGATGGTGAATCCTGAAGCAAAGTTAATGCAGGCATAGAATGATAAGATTCAAAACAAGATGAAGCCAAATAAGGTACAATCTTGCATCCATAGGCTTCATCCGGCTTTTGACAGCTTCCTCACCTGAACAACAGGACACCGATGGACACTAAACTTACAGCCCCTGCACACAATAATATTTCTCAGGTGGGAATGGAATTCCTTGGCTAGAAAAGATCTCTACCAGCAGTTCTGAACACATGCTCAAATTTACATCCACCTAGCAGTTTGCAGTTTCCTATTTCTGTGCTACTATGTCGCCGGAATAGCACAAAATGCAACAAAATGCACAAATTGTCATTTGTGTGCCATATGCACAGCAGATTTGAGATTTTAATCTTCATAGTCAACAGAAACAAATACCTTAAGG